ACCCTAAACCCTAAACCCTAAACCCTCACGGGCTCGCATCACGCGGCTGCTAACTGTGTGGCCTTCACTCTTTTGAAGAACAAGAGGCACTTGTTAAGACAACTAAAGCGTCTCCTTTTGTTTTAAAGATCTCTCGACTCTCTGGCTAGCTGAAGCTAGCCAGCTAGCGGTGGCTAGCCAGCTAGCTAGCAGTGGCTAGCTAGCTATCTAGCAGTGGCTAGCTAGCTCGCTAGCTGAAGCTAGTCAGCTAGCAGTACCTAGCTAGCTAGCTAGCTAACTGACCTGCTAGCTAGCTAGCTGGCCAGCTAGCTAGCCAGCTAGCTAGCTAGCTAGTTGTGCTCTGTGGCTCAATAGGCTTGCTGGGGCTGCTGCCCCGCATGATTCTTTAGAGCCCTTTGCATGCATTTTTTGCCGCTGCAGCAAAGTAGCTGCTGCAGCAAAGTAGCTGCTGCAGCAAAGTAGCTGCTGCAGCAAAGTAGCTGCTGCAGCAAAGTAGCTGCTGCAGCAAAGTAGCTGCTGCAGCAAAGTAGCTGCTGCAGCAAAGTAGCTGCTGCAGCAAAGTAGCTGCTGCAGCAAAGTAGCTGCTGCAGCAAAGTAGCTGCTGCAGCAAAGTAGCTGCTGCAGCAAAGTAGCTGCTGCAGCAAAGTAGCTGCTGCAGCAAAGTAGCTGCTGCAGCAAAGTAGCTGCTGCAGCAAAGTAGCTGCTGCAGCAAAGTAGCTGCTGCAGCAAAGTAGCTGCTGCAGCAAAGTAGCTGCTGCAGCAAAGTAGCTGCTGCAGCAAAGTAGCTGCTGCAGCAAAGTAGCTGCTGCAGCAAAGTAGCTGCTGCAGCAAAGTAGCTGCTGCAGCAAAGTAGCTGCTGCAGCAAAGTAGCTGCTGCAGCAAAGTAGCTGCTGGCCCTTGGCTTTGTGGCATCTCTTTTTTTGAATAACATATTATTTTGAAAATTTTACTTATTAACAAATATAAAAAATGTATCATTTAGAAGATTTTATTTATTAATAAATTTTTAAATAATGTATTACTTAATAATTAGTAAATCTTCTAAATGATGTATTATTTAGTGGCTATTAATTGTTAATAAATCTTTTAAATGGTTATACCGTTTGATAAATATCACTTGCTAATGAATCTTTTAAATAATATACCATTTGGCAAATATTATTTATTAATATATTAAATAATATATTATTCGGAATACATTGTTTAATTATAAATATATTAAATAATATATTACTTAGAGTAAATTAATTATTTATAAATCTAATAAATAATACAAAGATCAAAGACTTAAATCTCGGGCAGCAGCAGCTTCTCAGGGATTTCTCAAAAAGACTTCTTTTTTTAAATTAAATTCTTTAAAGATGGCCAAAACTTGCAACAATAAACAAAACTGCATGCAAACGAAATGCATGCGCTTTTCCCGCAGTGCATGCATGCATGCGAGCGCATGCATGCATGCACTGCGAGCGCATGCATGCATGCATTGCAAAACAGAAATGGGAAAGAAAACAATTCAAATATAATTTGGCTTTTCCATTTGGATTTCATTTTGAAACTAAAAGGTCTTGTACTAATTCTTTTTCAAAGATCATTCACGAATTCTTTTAAAATATCTTGTTCTAATTCCTTTTCCAGATCTTGCACTAACTGGTTTTTAAAAATCTTGTTTTAATTCTTTTTTGAAGATCTTGTGATAATTATTTTCAGAGATCTTTTTTATTCTTTTTCAAAGATCTTGTACTAATTCTTTTTAAAGACGTATCAAATTCTAATTCTTTTTCAAAGATGTTCTAATTCTTTTTCAAAAATCTTGCATTAATTCTTTTTAAAAGCTGATAGCAAATTCTAATCTTTTAAAAGGACAAGACACTAATTCTTTTTCAAAGATCTTGTTCTGATTCTTCTCAAGGGCTTCCTGCTATACCGGACTTTTCCTGAAAAGTATTTTTAAAATTCATTTGAAGAAAAGCTTTTCAAAAAAGAAACTTCCGGGCTTTGCTGAACTTGGAAAGTAAAACTTCTTTTTTTTGATTTCTTTTTATTTTGAATTTTGAAATCTTAAATTTCAATTATTTCAAATTTGTTTCCACAAATATTTTGCACTAAAACTTTTGCATTAATTCCAACTTCCCAGATCACTCATTGTCTTGCAAATAATGCAAAAAAAAACCTGAAAAAATTGAATTATTTATTTTTAAAATGAAAAAGCAAAACCTCGAAAAGTTGAATTATCTTTTTTTTAAATGCAAAAAACAAAAACTTGAAAAGTTGAATTATCTTTGTTTTAATATGCAAAAAACGAAAATTCAAAGGATTGAATTAACTTTTCTTTAGGGTGCAAAATATAAAAACTTGAAAAGTTGAATTATATATTTTTTAGAATGAAAAGTCTTTTCGTGGAAATGCATCAGAGTTTTGACTAAACGCACTTTGACATTAAACACTAAAATGAACTTTTTGGCGAAATCCCCGCAGCCGCTGAAACTTAAATAATAATTATAAAGTCTAATAATAATTAAAAATGAAATAAAATTTTATTTTATACTTTTTGCATGCAACTTGCAGGTTTGGGGCTTTGGCTAGCTAGCTAGCTGCTGAACTTCAACTTTTTTCGAATACAAGTTTCCCATTTGATTTAATTTTCATCAATTCTTTTTGTTTGCTGCTGAAGCTAGCTAGCTAGCTAGCTAGCTAGCTAGATCGTTAGTTAGCTGGTGGACTTGAATTTTTTTCGAATTCAAATATCTCATTTGACTTTATATTCATCAATCCTTTTTGGTTGCTACTGAGGCTAGCTAGCCAGCTGGCTAGCTAGCTAGCTAGCTAGCTCTTTAGCTAGCTGGAGGACTTTGATTTTTTTCAAATTTTCCATTTGCAGTAATATTAATCAATTCTTTTTGTTTGCTGCTAAAAGCGTTTTGGCTAATTTCTGATGAGCTTTAAACCCTTTGCCAGATTCTTCCAACTCCAGATTGCCATTTCTTGAATGTTCAATAAGAATAATAATAACAATACAAATAATAAGAATAAAAATAATAGTGATGATAATAATAATAACAATAATAATAATAATAGTAATAATAATAATAATAACAATAATAATAATGAATAATAAATAATAACAAATAAAAGTAGATACCTCAAGCAATGTGTGTTGAGATACTTGCAGCTTTTTGTTTCCAAGGCAGCTGCTGCCTTTTGCTGCTTTTGCTGCAGCAGCAGCAGCAACTCGGAAATAAAGTTTGCTGCAGCAGCAGCAACTCGGAAATAAAGTTTGCCGCAGCAGCAGCAGCGGAGCTTTTGCGGAGAAATGGAACAGCAGCAGTTTTGCTTACTCGCCAAGACTCAATTAGTATTTTAAAATAAATCTTATGAAAAGCATTAAAGCTTTTGAAATTAAAAAAAACATCGTTACGGGCAGCAGCAGCAGCAAAGGACAGCTGCTTTGCTGCAGCAGCAGCCGCAAAGGACAGAATTGCTGCTGCTTCGCTGCAGCAGCAGCCCGAGCAGCTGCGAAGCCCCCACTTTCGCTGAAATTAGCTGCAGCAGCAGCCTAGGGTTTAGGGTTTTCTGGGGGCTCCTTTTGTGTCTCTTGGGTTTTCAAATGTTTGCTGCTGCTCTCATCTTAGCAGCAAAAAAAACCCTAACTCTTCCGTGTCTTAATCTATATTTTTATTCCTTTTAGACCCTTTAGGGGCCCCTAAGCTGCTGCCTCTTACTGCAGCGGGGGCCCCCCTGCTGCTGCGCATGCGCGGGGGCCCCCAGGGGGCCCCCCTGCTGCTGCCAGTCTGCTGCGCCGCGGCCCCGGCGCTGCAGCAGCGTAGCAGCTGCTGCTGCGGACGCAAGGCTTGCTGCTGCCATCAGGCCCGCAGCAGCTAAGAGGAGGGGCAGCTACTTGCTGCAGCTGCTGGGCAGCGGCGCGGGGAGCCCCCCAGCCTCTGTGGCAGCAGCAGCAGCGCAGCAGAAGCCGACAGCAGCAGCACTCAGCCCAGCAGCAGCAGCGCAGGAAAAGCCACCGGAAGCAGCAGTCTGTGCAGCTGCTGCAGCGCTAAACATCGGAGCCCCCAGTATGGCGTCTGCAGGGACTTTGTCGCTGCTGCTGCTGCTGCTGATGCTGTGAAGACTGCAGCAGCAGCAGCAGCAGCAGCGGCGCAGTCTGCTGCGCGCCCGCGCCCAGCAGGGGAACCCCGGGCCACGATATGCAGCTAAGGGGCTACACAAGTTAGAAAAAATTAAATTAAAAATACTAATAAATTGTTTTATGCCATGTACTTGATTACTACTTAGACGCAGCAGCTGCTGCCGCCGCTGCTGCTGCTGCTGCTGCTGTGGCTGCCACTGCGGCGGCAGCGGGTGAGCGGCGCTGCTGCAGCAGCAAACAGAAGTGCCCGTTGCCAAGAGCAACTCATATGTTAATGCTGCAGCAGATTCTTACTATGGAAATTCACTTTTATGGGATATGCTGTAGCGGAAGCAGCAGCAGCAGCAGCGGGAGTTGCTGCTGCTGCTGCTGTGGGGGCGACGGGGCGGGGCGGGGTGCAGCAGCGGGGCATGCGTGTGGCTGCTGCTGCTGCTGCTGCTGGAGCCTCCGAGCTGCAACAGTTGCAGCAGCAACAGCAGCATTTGCTGCAGCTTCCCTTATCCGGCGGGAAATGTTTTATGCCTCTCTTACCAAAGAGTGGGCCCCCTGCTACTGTCTCATCTCCAGTCTTCCTGCAGCAGCAGCAGCAGCAGCAGCAACAGCCGCGTCTGTGGCGGCTGCTGAGTTTTGCTTGCTGCCCCGTTTCGGTTGTTGCGACTCTGGCCGCAGCAACAGCAGCAATTTAAGTGTCTGTCTTTCTGGAGTAGCAGGGTAGAAACAGCAGCAGCAGCAGCAGTAGCCGTGGCAGCAGCAGCAGCAGCAGCAGCAGCTCAGCAGCCCTGTCCCCCCCTCCAGTGCTGCGTTGCTGCTAGCCACCGCAAAGGCAGCCTTGCCGTGGCTGCCTGGGGCTGTTTTTTTTGCTGTTAGGAGATCACCAAGCGTTTGCTGCTGCAGCAGCAGCAG